TGGGACCGAAAGGGTGCGAACGATTCGGGACCGAAAGGATGCGAACGGTTCGGGACCGAAATGGTGCAAACGGTTCGGGATCGAAAGGGTGCGAACGGTTCGGGATCGAAAGGGTGCGAGCGGTTCAGGACCGAAAGGTGCGAACAGTTCGGGACCGAAAGGGTGCAAACGGTTCGGGACCGAAAGGGTGCGAACGGTTCGGGATCGAAAGGGTGCGAACGGTTCGGGACTAAAAGGGTGCGAACGGTTCGGGATCGAAAGGGTGCGAACGGTTCGGCCCGAAAGGGTATGCGAACGGTTCGGCACCGAAAGGGTGCGAACGGTTCGGCACCGAAAGGGTGCGAACGGTTCGGCACCGAAAGGGTGCGAACGGTTCGGGATCGAAAGGGTGCGAACGGTTCGACACCGAAAGGGTGCGAAGGGTTCGGCACCGAAAGGGTGCGAACGGTTCGGCACCGAAAGGGTGCGAACGGTTCGGCACCGAAAGGGTGCGAACGGTTTGGCACCGAAAGGGTGCGAACGGTTCGGCACCGAAAGGGTGCGAAGGGTTCGGCACCGAAAGGGTGCGGATGGTTCGACACCAAAAGGGTGCGAATGGTTTGGCACCGAAAGTGTGCGAGTGGTTCATGATTGAAAAGGTGTGAATGTAACGTCACCGAAATGGTGCAAATGGAACGTCACCGAAAGGGTGCGAATGTAACATCACCAAAATGGTGAGAATGTAACGTCATCAAAAAGGTGTGAATATAACATCACCGAAAGGATGCGGACATAATGTTACCAAAAGTGAACGAACAAAATATCATTGATACTTATGGATGAAAGTCATTAGAGTTAAGGCCGAGCCATCATGAGTGGTAAACATATTGTTCATGGTCGGGTGCTATGGACTATGATCCATGATATGGATCGATGGCTCAAAAAGAAGTGTATATGAAACAGCCTTAAAGTTTTATTGTACCTTGTAATAAGTATAAAAATATAGACATTCATATGTATGGTAATGAAAGCACATAGACACTAACATCAATTTTTTTTTTTTTGAAAAATGGAAAGGCATGACTCCTGATGATGAATACTACACACCTATAGAAATGAATATACAATCCAAGGTGTATCGTGTTAAACAAATTATGGAACTACTTTATAAAGTTTGTATGCCAAATTTAAATGCAAACCATTTTTAAAATTAAATATAAAAATAATCAGAGAAGGTTAATTATTTATTTGTTTCCTTAAAAGACACTTTTAAGGGTATTTAACAAATCATAAANCTACACACCTATAGAAATGAATATACAATCCAAGGTGTATCGTGTTAAACAAATTATGGAACTACTTTATAAAGTTTGTATGCCAAATTTAAATGCAAACCATTTTTAAAATTAAATATAAAAATAATCAGAGAAGGTTAATTATTTATTTGTTTCCTTAAAAGACACTTTTAAGGGTATTTAACAAATCATAAAATATTTTTTAAAAATACTCCACATTTCATTTTATTTGGCATTCGCAACCTTTCACATTAATTGAGATTTTTCTTAAGATACAAAACTTTTTATTTTATTTGGCATCACAATCTTTAGAATTAATTGAGATTTTTGTTAAGATACACAGCCTTTCATTTTATTTATTAAGAAACATAACTTTTCATTTTATTTTTTTAAAGAGGCATAATTTTCCATTTTATTTTGCCTTTACAATATTTCACATTAATTGGTATTTTTATTAAGATACAGAACTTTAGAATTAATTGGTATTTTTATTAAGACACACAACCTTTCATTTTATTTATTAAGAGACACAGCTTTTCATTTTATTTTATTAAGAGACACAACCTTTCATTTTATTTATTAAGAGAAACAACTTTCATTTTATTTTACATTTACGACATTTCACATTAATTGATATTTTTATTAAGAGTCACAACCTTTCATCTTGATTGACATTCACTTTCATCTTGATTGACATTCACAACTTTTAGAATTAATTGGGATTTTTTATTAAGGTATACAATTTTTATTTTATTTGACATTCACAATCTTTAGAATTAGTTGTGATTTTTATTAAGAGACAACCTCTCATTTTATTTATTAAGAGACACAATCTTTCAGTTATTTCTTTAAAGAGACACAACTTTTCATTTAATTTTGTATTTTCAACCTTTCACACTAATATAAATTTTTATTAAGAGTCTCAATTTTTTTTTATTTGGCATTCACAGACTTTTAAATTAATCAAGATTGTTATAATTAGTAGATTTTTATTATGAGAAGACACAACTCTTATAACTATTTTAAATATTTTTATATTATTTTTTCTGAGACACAATTGTTTTTATAATGAAAAGATGCAACTTTTAAACTAATATATTTCATTTTTAATGAAGAGATATAACCTTTCAAAAATTGTTATTATGAGAAGAGACAATTCTTACAACCTCTTTTAAATACTTTTAAACTATTTTTTATGAGACACAAACTTTTTTATAATGAAAAGATAGAATTTTTAAAATAATAGAAATTATTTTATAAATAGACACAATTCTATTTATAATAAAAAGATGCAACTTTTAAACTAATATATTTCAGTTCTTATGATAAGATACACAACCTTTAAAACTAATATATTTCGTTCTTTAAATAGACACAACTTTTCATTTTATTTTGTATTTTCAACCTTTCACACTAATAGACATTTTTATTAAGAGTCTCAATTTTCTTTTTATTCGGCATTCACAGCCTTTGAAATTAATCAAGATTGTTATAATTAGTAGATTTTTATTATGAGAAGACGCAACTCTTATAACTATTTTAAATATTTTTAAATTATNTTTTCTTTTTATTCGGCATTCACAGCCTTTGAAATTAATCAAGATTGTTATAATTAGTAGATTTTTATTATGAGAAGACGCAACTCTTATAACTATTTTAAATATTTTTAAATTATTTTTTGTGAGACACAATTGTTTTTATAATGAAAAGATGCAACTTTGAAACTAATATGTTTCAGTTCTTATGAAAAGATACAACATTTCAACAATTGTTTTGTTTTTCATCTAATGGTCCAAATAAAATTTGTATGCAACTTTAAAAATAATAGATTTTTTTAAATACACAATTATTTTTATAATGAAAAGATGCAATGTTTAAACTAATATATTTAAGTTTTTTTTTATGAAAAGATACAACCTTTCAACAATTGTTATTTTGAGAAGACACAATTCTTATACCCTCTTTTAAATACTTTTAAACTATTTTATCTGAAACATAAACTTTTTTTAATAATGAAAAGATGAAACTTTTAGAATAATAGATAACTTTTTATGAAACTAGACAATTCTATTTATAATAAAAAGATGCAACTTTTAAACTGATATAATTCGGTTCTTATGAAAAGATACAACCTTTCAACAATTTTTTTTTTTTTTTAAAATACAAAATTATTTTTATAATGAAATATGCAACTTTTAAACTAATATATTTCAGTTTATTATGAAAAGATACAATTTTTCAACCATTGTTTTGTTTTTCATGCAATTGTCCTAAGAAATGTTTTTTAGACATACGATATTTATGGCATTAACATATTTTTTTTTAAACAACACATCTTTTTACATGAAAAAGTCATACTTTTTCATATTTGAAGGATTACAATCTTTGGTTATAATTGTTTTTTTTTCTTCTATTGGTCTTAATAATTTTTTTTATACTTAAATTAAAATTGCTATGAGCAGTTATTTTTTTTTCAAACAACACATCTCTTTAATTTGAAGAGTCATACTTTTCCCTAATTCTTGACTTTTTAAATATTTTTTGAAGAGTTTGAGTCTTGTGGTTGTAATTATTATGGTTTTATCTAATGGTCTTGAAAATGTATTTGGTTGAACTTTTTTTTCCTCGCAACTCTTGAAAATATTCATTTTAAAACAAAACACAACTCTTGATAATCTATCAATGTACCTTTTCAGATTACTATAAATAGAATGTTTTACAGATGCAATTTTTTAAGAAAATTTATGTGTTTTTTTTCTAATATAAGTATGATTCTTAGTACTCTTGAATATAATGTTTGATTCATTATATAGTTTTAAACGATCTTTAAAAATTTAATGTGGTGTCTGCAAAAATAATTTAATAGGTTTAGTTTCAGCTTAGACTAAACTACCATATCCAAACCAATCTGGCTGTAAAACATCCTATTTTTTTTTGTAATCTCTTATTTTTCTTCTGATAAAGTCCATTTTTTTATGTTTTTCTAACCCAGTTTGTATGGAGGTACTGAGCGTCATAGATTTAAAAATATCGTTCTTTGCATGTTAATACAGTGTTTTAAAACATATTATATTATTTAATTAAAAGTTTTAAACTGTTCCATCAGTTCAACAAATTTTAAAAGTTTGTCTTCTCATATATAAAAAGATAAAAGAAAATGACTACGACTTTAATATAAAAGTTTACTTAATATTGTTATGCTAAACACATAACATTTAAATTTATACATTTTCAAACAAAAATTATACTTTCACTCTTCTATTATATAAGATTATGTTTTAAGTATTGATTTTCGTAAAAAATAATTAGTTTATTAAATGATTAGTTTAAAAAATATAAATTATATTAAAATTTATTTTAAAAAAAAACATCTTTTCTCCCGCGCGTTTACGCACGGGGTGGTTTCCTAGTATATATAACAAAACTCGCGAGATCTAACCGTGATTATTATGATAGTAATTTGTTGAGTGAAAAAAAAAATTATTTGCAAATGTTTGGTTTATATAGTTGTCTAAATGTATGTACAAGTTAAGCTGTATCTTAACACCAAAAGACTAAACAAAAAATATAAATGAAATGGAAAATGTATGTACCTATATGTCAAAGATCCATGTGGTATTAAATATTTTTAAAACCCCAAGTGTCCTATACATATTAAATCAAAAGAAAGCTCAGCATACGCCTAGAAACTTTAAACTGATATAATAAGGGTGGTCCTATACAAACCTCTCATGAACTGATCTCTTCATCATTCTTCTTCTTCTCACTAAATTCTCCCTCACACAAAAACTTCAATTGACCTCCAAACAAGTTCTTGATCTAACTTGCGAACGTTGATTAGCTCACAATTCATAAGAGTTAAATCACTGGTCGCTTTTGAGCTTGTGCATTCACATGTATATGTAGATGTATGAGGAAGAAAAGAACAATATCGTTAATAATCAAGAAGAACTGAGACTGGAGATGGCCTTTCCACAGCATGGATTCATGTTTCAGCAACTCCATGAGGAAAATTCTCATCACTTACCTTCCCCTACCTCTCTACCTTCTTGCCCTCCTCACCTCTTCTACGGTAAGTACCTCTCCCTCTCTCTCTATATATGTATATAATATACATACACAAATGACATGTATTTTTTTTTTGGACAAACATACTTCTCATTTCACACACACAAATGACATGTATATAATAGTGTAGAAACGGTAAAAAAATTACCAAATTATAACTGTGGTATTCACATAATTACTTGTTCAGAGATTAGTTTGGATCTCGACCTTAATTGGTAAATTTCGTTTTGGTGTAGGAGGAGGAGGAGACTACATGATGAACAGATCAATGTCGTTCACGGGAGTATCAGATCACCATCATCTAACTCAAAAAAGCCCGACCACGACGAACATGAATGATCAGGACCAGTTGGGGGAGGAAGACAATCTATCAGATGATGGGTCCCATATGATGCTAGGAGAGAAGAAGAAGAGGTTGAATTTAGAGCAAGTTAGGGCATTGGAGAAGAGCTTCGAGCTAGGGAACAAGCTGGAGCCAGAGAGGAAGATGCAGCTTGCTAAGGCTTTAGGGTTGCAGCCTAGGCAGATTGCTATATGGTTTCAGAACAGGAGAGCTAGATGGAAGACAAAGCAGCTCGAGAGAGACTATGATTCTCTCAAAAAACAGTTCGATGTTTTGAAATCGGACAATGATTCTCTTCTAGCCCACAACAAGAAACTCCATGCTGAGGTATTATATCATATACACACAATTAATTATATAGTATTTCATTACGTTATTTCTAAAAGCTAACGCTTTATGATAAACTGTTATGGATGTTTTGAACAAGCCACTAACCTATGAATTACATAATTAAGTTCTTAGGGGTCTATATGGTGGAATATTACTGATGCGTTTGTAAAATTTTAATTATGAATTATCATTATGCATCAATCATATACAATATGTGAACAAAATATCATATACAAAAAGGAAAATCTTCATGGATTGACAGTTTAACACGTAGTTAGCGATCCTGAATAATTTTAGATAATAAATATAAAATGGAATTAGATTTGTGACAGGCTCTTGATCCAATGCGAAAGATGTTTGTCAAAAGACATTAACTATACAATATTTTATTAGTCTAAATAAAGATTCTTGTTTGCATACATTTCAAATTAATAAAATTCCCATGTGCTTGTGGAGTTGACATTTACGATAAGTGTTTTTATTTAGCAGATTAATATATTTTATGTGATCATAAATTTCTCAAATAATTTGGTTTACGTGTGATGATATTGGTACACAAAACAGTTAGTGGCGTTGAAGAAACAAGACGGTAAAGAATCATCAAAGATCAAGAGAGAATTAGCAGAAGCTGCGTGGAGCAACAATGAAGGCACACAAAATAATAATGATAATTCAGATATAAATCATGTGAACATGATCAAAGATCTTTTCCCTTCTTCTGTCCGATCCGTGACTACCACCACGACCTCATCCCATATTGATCATCAGATGGTTCAAGATCAAGGATTTTGCAATATGTTCAATGGCATTGATGAAACGACGTCGGCTAGTTATTGGGCATGGCCTGACCAGCAGCAACAACAGCAGAGTCATCATCAGTTCAGTTGAGCACATTGTCCAAGAAGAGCATCGATCATAATCCAGAATAACCTCATCATCATACTCATCTTATACCAACATCATCAAAAGAAAACTTCGTCGATTTTTCCACTTGAGTATTTTTAAATTATTTGGTACTGTTTGAATCGTTTTTCTTTTCTGTTACTTTGGGGTTTGTAGAAAATTGGTGTATAGGGATTATTTAACAATCTTAATAGAATGATAATTTCTTTCTACATTAATTTAAATAATTAAAATTTTCTTTCAAAATATTTATTTTTGTGAACAAGTATACTAGATTATATAACAAATCATTCCTTTTTTGTTAAAAAAAAAAACTAATTAACTGACTGTTATTCAGTAATGTTTTAAATATCATTGTTAAACTAGATTTATTGTGATATATACCAACAATTATTTTTTGAATATTAGGAGGTTTTGAGTCGAAGTTCGTAATCCTTTTATACCTGAAATGATGATATGTAATATTAGATTCGTTTCAGTAGCCAATCAAACTGGGATCTCTGATACAATGACCAAAGCCTTTCCATTTTTTTTTAATTATTTAGCTTCAAGTTTGGTTGACCAAAAAAGCCTCTTATTAATCCCAGAACATCATTTTATCCACTAATTTTGCAAGATTTTGGTTTGTTGCTAAAGTTCAGCTTTATAACGAAGATTTTTGTTGAAGTGAATGGGTCAAAATGATTTTCTTCGTTTTTCATTTCTAATATTATAGCAAAAATATACAATTAATAAAATATAATTATTTCTTCTCTAGGCTGGAACAGAAAGCTAAAAAGAAAATAACAAAAAATATGATAGATTTCAGATGCAGGTTTGTAAAAAAAAAAAAAAAAAAAGTCAGATGCATGTGCCTTCGAGTGGGATTCCAGCTCTGTCATTGACACAACATGAGCCATGATATAATATTACCTGTTATTTTCCATCTAGCTACTGTTTAATTTATTTGATGCAAACGTGTGCTCGTGTGGTCTTTTCATTAGATTATAAACTATATTTTCGTAAATAGTTACCGTGACTGTAATTTTAAACTTTTCTATCAAAACTCGTACATGTTGACGAAAAAAAATCAAAACTAGTACATATTTATGCATGCATAAATCTAACAATTTTTTTTGTTTTTATCTTCATTCATCATCTCATAGTTATAATTTCGTTTTTTTTTAATTAAGTACAAGTCTAACCGAGTTGAGCTGTTCTGGATTTCATTCCCCCGCTCCCCTTTTCTTTACAGTGTTTGTAAATTGCACACTTGAAAAGGAAGTCATAGCGAATTATTATCTTACTAGAATTTGTATGCACTAGACCTTATGTTCAACTAGTATGTGTAATGTGCGTCACGTAGTCAGTCGCATAGATAGACCTAATATTCAATCGATCAAAAGTACAATTTAATTTTTATTCAATCACAGTTTAGTGCCTTTTTGTTCAATCACACTTTACTTGTTATTCAATCACAGTTTAGTGCCTTTTTGTTGAAATCATATCTTTTGTACTTTTCATAATAATTTTGGTTTGATTTTCTTTTCTTGTAAACATAAGATCTCGAGCTCATACGAAAAGTTATTGTCGTTCAACTGTTTATATAAACTACGATTGGATAAAAACTGGATTTTGGTTTAGACCCATATACGCACCATGAACCCGTTCTTTGTTTATTTCTATATAAACACGTACCAATAACTTTACATTACAGTGATTACCAAAAAAAAAACTTTACAATACAGTAGATTTGTCAAACCAATTTTCTTTTCTTAAGTTTTGAAGGATTTTCGTAAATTTAACAATTTGTTACAACTTAATATTTCAACAAAATAACTAAAAATGTTAGAATCAACTAACTATCTATTTCTCCAGCGGTTACATTTCTTGTCTTTCAATATATATATACCTTGAATCTTGAGCATAAGGCAATTAGAAGACCAAAAATGGAACATGTAATATGTAAGTTATTGTTAACAATTGTATTTGAAAAGCCCTTGATAAAAAAAAACAATTGTATTTAAATTGATAGTGGTAACTGGTAGATGAGGAAGATAATTGGAAGCACACATTCCAAAGACGAAGAAGAAAAGTCCAAAAAGAGAACAGATTTGAAACAGTGTTTAGGAGAATCCTTCACTCATCTAGCCAGCTTTTCTGATCTTTGGATGCTTTTGAATTAAAGTATTAATAAAGTTTGATCTTCTAAAATGTACATATATTCTGTTATTATACACAAGAAAACAAATAGGGTACCAAATATTTATCTTCTTTGTGGGCTCTCCATGTGACCTCACTGCCACCACCACTGCACTTCTCACAGAACCTGAAACTTGAGATAGTGAAAGTTTAGCCAAATCAACGAGAACTACACAATATACATTCATCTACACTTTAATTTTCACTGTGTTTGTATCATGTAGGATCCAACTAACTAATGTGATAAATCATTGGAGCGAGACTTTTCACCCAAAAATAAATAAATTTTTGAAATGGACTTTCTGTGTAAAACCAAAGTTATTGATATATTCTAAATGGTCAGATCCTATAAAATCATATGCCAACTGCATTAATCTGTTCAGACACTGTTAGATATGTACGTACGTACCTACATACGTAATTTATGGAATATATATAGATAAATGAGAGCATGCGAGATCATGGGGTCGTCATATGTTTTATTTGGTATTTTGTATTAAGAGTTTTTGTGAAGTGCACATGTTTATGTTGATGGATTATGGATATGTCAACGCCTAAATTCTCCTTTTTTCTATCATTTGATTCAGTAAACACCGACACAGCGAATAGATCTGACCCGCAGTAATCGCATTTCAATGTATGATGAGTTAGTAGTACTCGTAAGATGTCTTGAACAAAAGAAAAATAAAGTAGTCATAAGATGTCATTCAAATACTGATATTTCATTCTTACCACCAGTTTATGACTAAAAAGCTTATGAACAACTATGGCATCCCCATTAAAGCACATAGTTTGAAATAAAAATAACTTAACTTTCTAAAGAAAAACGAGAGTATGTGCAAATTAGAGTATGTGCAATTTTTTTTGTGTACGTTTTCTTATTTAGGTGACAATATTAATTATACTAAAAAGTACATTTGGTTGTGAAATTTGCCTAATAATAACGTGTACGTATATATATTTTTTTAAGTACAGATTGATTGTCAGTAAAATATCCTCAAATGATTCTACACATCATTTATCTCATTCAAGATGGTTAAAATTTGGGCATCAAAAACTCATTCTTGTTATATGTTTGATTTTTTCGTTCTAAAGGTCTTATTACCCAAAAATGTCCATTCCCTTGAGCGACATCCAAAAATGATCTGCCCAAAAGGTAATTTGTATTTGATTGGTGAACAAGTGAGTAGCTCTTCTTTTTTTTTTTTTTTATCAACGCGAGTAAACTCTTCAAAAAGATGCATTGTATGAAAAAAAGACGTCGAGATTCTTGAAAACACTTGGCGCATGTGAGCATGCATCTTCTGGAGATCGATAGCTGTTAATTAATGTGGCTCCTTTTTTCTGTGACGGTAACGTTCCTCTTAATACAACCTACTCCTTTGAGGGCTTGATGGATCTTTTTTCCGCGGTATGGTTATGGAAAGAAACAAAATTAAAACAAGAAAGAAAAAATGGTTATGGAAAGAAAATAACAAAACAAACCGTGATGAAACTTCGGTCCACATTTTTACTTATGAAATGACATTCATCATAATCAAAATTGCATATTAAAACAATAAAGAACAAAAATCAGTGATTCCAATTTCTGCATAAACTACGTACATATGAATTAATCATATATTATATAGTTTCATGCGATTTAAAAGATCAAAGTTGTTACAAACTTACAATCTAATCAATTTTTCTTTCGTGAATGTCGATCATAGTTACAAAGGTACTCTAACAACAGAAAACTTAAAGAGCATAGTGTGTTTTTACTTTTTTGCCTGGTTCAACAATCTGTGAAGGGAGTTTTGGATTATTCACTCTGTTTGGTTAACTGTGTGTTTCTAGACATAACCCTGCCTAAGCTTGATAAACCGATCCATTCTTCCCCTTAATGTTCTTTAACATTCATCCATTATAGAATTACAATCCAGGTGATTATCTGATAACTCCATTTTTCTCCCTGACTTCCCCAATTTTCCTCATCTTATCAACCTACCATCTAAACAATAATTAATATCATCTCTGCATAGAAAAAAGGAGTTCAATAATTACAAAGTAACATTAGATGCTTTGAATATAACATTATATCTTAACAAAGTATATATGTACTCACCCTGTTTTAAGATCTCTGATATTATCTATACGGTCTAACTAAAAATCAATTGGCGGTAACTATAGTGGTTCAAGTTACACAATCCATTATACCCCTTTCAAAATATGTTCTTTATCTAATTATCTTGACAAAAATTGAGTTACTATTTTAGACCATCAGTTAGTAGGATGATCATGTCACTTTCCCAATCCGTTTAATGGATCAATGAATATGCCCGTTCTGATATCAAATTAAATTTATTGGACTTCAAAATTAAAACCAAACTAGATTTTGAACCCGCACATCCGTGCGGGTAATTTTTCATTTTATAAAAATATAACAAAATCTTTCAGATATATCATTTACATTTTATTTTTATATTGTATAACTATAGAATCTTATTATTTTAATTATTTTATATAATATATTGTTGTCATTTTTTAAAAATATCAAATATATTTTTTTAGATAATGTATTTGT